AAGTCATAGTAATAATATTGATGTCTGGACCATCAAGATTAAATTTCTTCTCATAATACCAAATAATTGGTAATTGCAGGCATTCTTTGTCAAAAATGGTTTTCACTTGATGAAATAACGCTGATAACACATATCTTTAACACTAAAATCAAATATTGCTCAATTCTCGAAAAAAAGGTCTGGAAAAACATGACGTAAAAATAATATTTTTATCAAAATAAACATTGTTATGCACAACTTCTCAGAAACGCATCAGACACTTTTTTTGGCATAAGCGAAATGAAAGAAACTGTTTTACCAACGCGTGATATGTTTTCGACCATATTAGATAACATTTTTCAAAGGGAAATATGAAAAAACGGTTGTGCCTTCATATGCGGTTATGCCCCCACTATGAAACATGTCAGTGTCACTAGGTTAGTGACACTGACATGCAAAACAAAGGCTAATTGATATAAAAAGCGGTGTTGCACCCATCAACCCTACCTGCAGTACGGACTTGTAATGTTTTCTGAACATTTTAATGATTATTGTAATAATTAAAAGAGATAAAAAAAAGTGAAATTATTTGCATGATTTTAAGCAAAAAACGTTTAATTAAAAACAAAATAAAGTTTTTTTTTTAAAGATATTTTGCGAAATTTTTATAATTTTATAATATGGTAAACTTGAAATTTTGATTAAATATAACTTTGCAATTGTGAAAAAAATTCACAATTTTCCATTTTTTTAACGTAGAAAGACTGATGGCTATGGCTCTTTAGATGGCAATTTAAATGTAATAAAAATTCGAATTATTCAACACTCATCTGAACAATAGACTTGTTTTAAAACACTATTAATGCTATGTAACATAAATCAGTTTAGTTACTCTCATTTCAATACTTTTCAAATATTCTCAATACATTGGTTCCAATTTATTTGATATTATGAAGTTGCATATAATTCTTATTCTGAATTTGAATTCTGAATTCAGCTGATAAAATAAATATAATCAAGACCTTAAACAATCATCATTCGACTATTCTATCTGGAAACTTTAGGTAATTTTTTTAAAGTCAGTTTTTTTTTGTTAAAAGCCATGAAGCGGAGGAAAATGTGTTCTTTGTCGATGAAAAGTGTTAACGTAAAAGCGATTAGTGAAAAAACGATTGAATTAGTTAGACGTGTTATTATTAGTTTTTGTTTTGCCAAAAGAAATTCAATACTTCCCAAATACATTTGTTTATCACTTACACATCTTAAAAAAAAAAGCTCCAGAAAAAGTTGCTAAAGAAAACAATATCAAACACTGGAAAAGTATGGCTTCAATAATGTTTAAAAAAAAGTCATCAAACAACTCTGCGTCAGACTAAGTAGTCAGGGTAGGTTAATAGGGTTGTTAATATTATTTAATATATTTAAATATTAAAAACATTTCATAATTCTCAAATGTTTTTTTAATTTAGGATCAAGAGGCGAAAACAGTTAGATTAAGCAGTTAGAAACGTACCCGCTATGTAAAAGAGAGTTTATCCAAAATTGAACGCGATTTAATCATACTAAATTGATCACCTCAAAACCTGGCACTTTTTCCTAGAGATTCTGTAAACAAAATAGTTCCCGCCTCTGTTTTTTACAAAACAACTCCCGATGTGTCTCATACGAAACAAATCACTTTTGTTTTTTGATTTGTACGTCTAGGATCTGACAACCAATGGATGGTAAAAGAGCATTTTCTGAAGGTAGAAAATCTGCAGAAAAAAAAGGGTTCTGACATTGCGAGTCTGATTATAAACTTTTTGGATCAAAGTCGAATTGGTTTAAAGAACTGTAAAGGCCAGAGCTATGATAATGCAGCTAACATGTCAGGTGTATATAACGGAGTGCTGGTCATCATTCTCAGAAAAATCCTCAAGCTTTATACATGCCTTGCAGTGCGCATAGCTTTAATCTAGCTGGTTTTCATTCTGCAAAATCCTATAATTTATTCAAGAACTAATTTGGCAAAATTCAATCGCTCTATAGCCTTTTTACTAGTAGCCCGTTGTACTGCAAAGTTTTGACTGAAACAACTGAGCTGTCTTTTCACCAAAAGTCTCAAACAATATGGAATGCACGCATAGAGGCTGTCCGGCCATTGTCGAAACGACCAAAAGAAATACTGAAGTCCTTTAAACTTCTTAAAGAACTTAATTTTGAAGATCATCAACCGACTTTAGTTAAGACACTCAAAAAGTGGATTTAATCATTTTAACTAATTGTTTTGACTTCTTTCTGGTTCAAGGCTCTCCTATGTGTCAATGATGAATGCATCTAAAGAAATGCTTTCTGATTGATATCAGAAAGCACTTCTTTGGACAACAAGACCAAGTTTTTAAAATCTCTATTTGATTATCGTGACCAACTATGTTCTTAATAGCTCCAAATCCTCCAGGAAGCAAAACTGATTGCAAATGGTTTTTTTAAAAAGAAGACAACGAAAATAAAAACACTTCACGGCAAGTCGATAAACATAGGGTTTTGTGGTGAACTTATTAATAGTTGCTTTTGACACGCTATTCTAGCAGATAAGAAGCAGAATAGATAGAGCTCAAAAGATAACAGACATGTTTCCGTTAATTTGGTGGTCACCATCTCTTTCTAGTGATGAAGAAACACTTAGTCCAAAAGTAAAATGCATTTTTTCTTAGGGGTGGTAAATTAATTATGTCAACAAATATTTGTCAGTTTTTACCTCCCTCCCCCCTTCCTGTTATCAACTTGCCAAACTTCCAGAGACCTTACCCCCTCCCTTTAAAACTACGTCAACATTTGATTACCCCACCCATAAATTAAAATCAAATGGACAATAAGAAAAGCAATATTTTAAATAGACTAGTTTACAACTACAACAAAAAAAAAAAAGAAAAATTCAAAAAATATTCATTAGTTAAAAGATGAATTTTTTCTTTTTCACTTTTTCTTCTACTACTACTACTACTACTACTACTTTTTTTATTTTGACTAAGGAGAAGGGGGGGGGGGGGAGGGAAATAAATTGTTGACGTAATTTTATATAGGAGAAAAGGGTGGGTTTCTGACAGTGTTGACAAAGAGGAGGGGGGATTGAAAATCACCAGAAATTCTAAGGTCAAAAATCTATTTTATTTTCAGTTATGCGCTACTTAAAATATCGTGCTCCACATTTTGCTGATTTGTTTATTTTTCTGAAATAACTCAATTAAATATTAAATAAATTTTTTTTTTAATATTAAAGTCTACTTTTGTCAAAAAATCAAGATTTTTGAGCTAACCCGGAGAAATATGTTATGGGGTTTGAAAACCTGTAATTTAAACCAAATTTGAATTTAAATTATGATTTTAAGCCAATTTATGATTAAACCAATTTTGTAAACAATGCTACTTTTATTGGTATTCAAAATCATGTCTACCCAGGCAAAATATAACGAAGAAAATCACAAAACTATTTGTTTACTTTGTATGAATAATAGCAAAAGAGAGGTAACACCTTTTATAATTGAAAAAGTGAAGGCAATGCTTGAAAGAGACAAGTTTTGAAGACTTAAGAGTTTCTAGAGGAATTTGAGAATTTCTATAGCATTGTTCAAATCACTTTAAAAACAATATTAAAGTGATTTGAACAATGTTATAGAAATTGTAGAAACTAAATAGATAAAACACCAACACATAACACCTCTAAACCCTACAAAATTATATATAAACGCAAAGTTTGTTTTGATTGTTACAAACACTGCCTCGCTTTGAAGAATCTCCTTTCTCCGTCGCAGATATTATGAAAAGGTCTATTTAGGTGCCCCAAGAAGTCCTTACGGTCTTATTAGAGAGCACCACGGAAGAGCAATTAATAGGAAGTTCACGCCTCCTTCCCAACCAATGTTGCAAAACTTGCCCTTAGGTGGGGTTTGAACCAGGTGTCTTTCGTTTCTGAGGCAAGTGCGCTACCACTGCACCACGGCAGCTATAAACTTTCCTACCTTCCTAGGCCACTGCTTGCTCTTGTCATTAATGTTGCATTAGGACTAAAGGACTAAAGCCTGAACTTCAAAAAAGTTAAGATAATAATTTAACAGATATTTTAAAAAGATTGTTGCAAATTTTCTTTTTCAAATCTTACTCACTCACATATACGGACGCATGGTGACAAGTTTTATGCGGGTTGAAATACAGGCTAATGTTTACGTCGGTAATGTTTCTCGTCTACATAAAATTCCAAAATGCTACTTAATTTGTTTGAAAAATTAAGTAAAGGAGTGATAAAAGGTTTTGTACCCTTTAAGACGATAAATTACTAATTTTATTCAGGTTATCAGTAAATATATAATTATATTAAGATTAGACTGATTCAGTAAACCTGTGTACAATTACAAGATTAATTCTAAAAAGGCGCATAACTTTATTACAAACTTATGTTGACTACGTATTTTAGCATTTCAGCTGTTTTTATAATCTTCTTATTTTAAAGTACTCCAAAAGTCTTGCAAAGAATTATAAAATAACAATTTTTTCTTGGTGGCTTGTTTAATCCATTTGGCCGTATGGTTGGTGCATATATATATAAAAGATTGATTTCAAGCTAAACTATACCAAGCTTGTAGAAGTAATGCTTAACAATATATTCAACATTACTAAAATCATGGTTTTTATTTGGTTAAATTAAAACCATGGTGTAAATGTTGCATTAGTTTCTTTTAACCGTGGTTCTATTTCTCTGCATGATCTATTATACTACATATGGTAGATTTTAAAATATTTTTACCTTTAAGGCTTTTAGTATTTTTTATTTTTCATTTTGATTTATTAGAAGCTGTATATGAATTAACATAAAAGCTTTTTATGACTTTTATATTGATACAATATATTGCTATCAATATATTGTATATGTAAGTATGTATATATATATATATATATATATATATATATATATATATATATATATATATATATATATATATATATATATATATATATATATATATAATATATACATATAAAGTGTATTGTATAAACTTTTTATATAATTAGTTTTATAATCAAAGAAGCAAAATCAATGGACAGTAAAGGGAAGATTGCTGTAATTGGCAGGTAAGCTGATAGTTTATATTAAGAGTTTTATAATTTTTCAAAGTTTAGGTTTAGGTTTATTCATTCATTGTCAAAAATAAATTTACAATTTTTTTTTTTGACAAAGAGCGGCACACCAGGCCTCTCTGTTATGAAAATACAGTTTTTCAATTTCAGCTTAAGTAAAGATGCCGTAGTAGAGAAAGTTCGTGTTTAAAATTGTTCAAGTTCTTTGCGTCCACCGCATTTGGTGGACGCAAAGAACATTTTGCACTTAAAGAATTCCATAATCTTACAATACAGTTGGTGAAGAAGTTGCTTCTTTCAGCGCAGTTTTGAAGTTGAGGGGTGTGAAAGTTAACTTTATCAATTTTGGTCATAGTTTTATATTGTTCGATAAGGTCTCCTTTTTCTCGTCGTTCAGTTAGTGTTGTCAGGTTAAGGCTAGATAGTCTTTGAGCATATGAAAGGTGTTTAAAGGAGGCAATATATTTTGTGGCTCGGTGTTGAACTTGCTCAAGTTTGGCAATGTCTTGAGCTAAAAATGGTGACCAGGTCTGTACTGCGAATTCTAGGTGTGGGCGAACATACGAAATATACAGTGTGCACCATAATGCAGAACCTTGACCTCGAAAAGCCTTCTTGAGCCAGCCAAACATTCGGTGGCCAGCTGATGCAGCTGCACAAAATTGTTTTTTAACTTTTAGATTGCTCGTTATAAAAATGCCTAGTTCTCGTTCAGATGACGTGCATGATAGCTGGTGCAGTTGGCCCTCTAGGTTAATCATTGTATAAATTGTATTCGATTTTTTTTTGTTGCTGTGCCCGGCGTGCATGACTTTGCACTTGTCAATATTAAATGACATAAGTTATGTGTGCGACCACTTTACTGCTTCGTTGATGTCAGCTTGGAGTTTTATGATGTCATGGTTTGATTCTATAGTTCAGATTATTTTACAGTCATCTGCATACATTATAAATTGGTGTTATATTTTGTCTGGCAAATTGTTAATGTAGATAAGGAACAGGAGTGGCCCAAGAACAGATCCTTGTAGCACATTGCTAGAGACAGTTTTCCAATTAGATTTATTGTTACCAATGGTTATGCGTTGTAGCTAGTTGGTTAGCCAGCTTTTGATCCAATCGTGCAAGTTATCGGACACTCCATATGATTTTAGCTTATACAGCAGAGGTGTGAAACTTTTTTGAAAGCTTTAGCAAAGTCTGTGAATATGATATCGGTTGGGTAACCTTTGCGTGCAGCTTTATTCAGGATGTCGCAAGTTTCGAGTAGGTTTGTGACGCAACCTTTTCCTTTTCAGAACTTGTGTTGAGCAGAGCTGATGAGTTTATTTTTGTTTAAGTGGTCAATAATGTGTTTGTGTAAAAAGCTTTCCATTACCTTGCAAGGGACAGAAGTGCGTGTGATAGGTTGATAGTTTGAGTGGTTTAACTTGCAGCCTTTTTTGAAAATAAGAGTAATTTTGGCTTTTTTCCATTGAGACAGTAGATCTTCAGCTTTAAGCGATTCAGAGAAAATAATGCTCAGTGGGATAGCAAAACCTGCAGCACAGTATTTCAGGATGCGTATATAAATACCGTCAAAGCCCATTGATTTGGATTTATTCAGGTCCAAAAGTTTTTCTTTGACGGATTCCTATGATGTGGTTGGTTGGTTTATGCTAGTGGAGCGAGTGTTGAATGTTGGTATAGACCCTAGTGGTTCGATTTCGAAAACTGATTGGAAATATTTGCTAAAAGTTTTGCAGATTACTTTAGGATCTGTTGTAGTTTAATTATTAGTTGTTTCAAGTTGACGGATGCAATCGTGTGTTTCTTGTTTGCTTTTGACGTAAAAAAAATAAATAATAAAAACTATATAATATAACATTACAATCATTGCATATAATATAACAAACTACTGCAATAAAATAAATTACAGCAAAACAATTTTTTTTTTCTAATTAAGAAAAACAAGTTTGGTAAATGTTTAAATAATTTTGTTTGAATTAAAATATAATTGTATTTTTTCATTATTTCTTAAAGTTGCAGCTTTGTAAATAATAATTTTTTACTTTCAAAAAGTTATTAACAAATAAAAAATGTTACTTGTTACAAAGAAAAAAACTGAATTTAATTACTTTACCAGCGCTTTTTTTTTTGTGACCAACAAAGATTTAAGTTTCCAAAGTATCATTTATTAAAAAACATTGCGCTTTCACTAGCCTTTAGTCAAAAAAGTTAAATGTACGCTTTATTAATATTTTTGGTGCACTTTTATAAGTAAAAACATGTTTAAAAGAAATTTAATTTAATGTAAAAAATAGAAAAAAAGGAAGAAAAACCAAGGGAAAAAAAAAACAACTAATTTTTTTAAATTTAAATAACTTTTTTTAATCAAAGTTCTTTCTTAATTATAAGGAAATTTCTGTTTTTTTTTTTGTTTTTTTTTGATATTGTACAATCTATTAATATACAAGCTATTATTTTTTTCAAAATAAAACTTATAAAATATAAATAAAGACATTGCAAAAATAAAAATGAAGACATTGCAAGAGCTTTATTACTTCAAGCGTAAATTCAAACAAAAAAATTAATAATAGAGTTTTGTCCATAAAAGAAGTTTTTGTTTTTTTTAATCAAATTTTGTTTTTAATAAGATGTAATTTTAAATCTTTATATGACAATGTTTTAAAGCTTGTAATGGTGTTTTTTCATTTTTTTGATAAAATGAAAAAATATTTTTTTATAAAGTCATTATAGCAAGACAAACAAACAAAATTAAAAAGTAGCGCTAGTATAAAATAAAATTTATTGTGTACTATTTTTTAACTAATAATTTTTGTTTGTTGTTTTTTTTGTTTTTTTAATTGTAATTATTTTTGTTATTGTTTGTTATAAGAAATTGTCTAAATAAATATTCTGTTTTTAACCCCACAAAACAAGAATATTGTAAGATAATATTTAAATATAAGAGTTATTATGTAAAAAAATAAAAATTACAAACTAATGTACCAATGATACAATTTTATACTAATGCAAACGCCCTTACCGCAAAGTGGGGCTTTGTTTAAAGAAGGAGGGGTGAAGGCGTAAAAAATTTTTTTTTTGAGATTAGAGTTTTTTGCGTTAATTTGAGCCCTGTATAACCTAACCTAACTGCTGTCCTAAAAGTGTTTGAGGTCGGCAAAAAATCGCCGACCTCATTTCTATGTTTTATGGTAACTTCTTTGTCAAATTTTTTTGCCAACCTGATGCTGATCTCTAACAGTTTAAGGTTTGCAATAAACTGCCAACCTCATTTTTCTATAATTTTAAGGTTGTATATATATATATATATATATATATATATATATATATATATATATATATATATATATATATATATATATATATATATATATATATATATATATATATTTATATACATATAAGTTTGAGTTTTATTTATTCAATAACCAAATTAATACATGTTAACTGTAATAATGTTGTAATAATAATAAAATACATATTATAACATAGTATACATAAACATTGAATTACTAATTTGATGAAGAGACATTTCCAGGAGTCTATATGCTGATTTAGCAGTTTATGATGTCAAAATCTGATCTTAAATGCATTCAAAGTTGGAGCATCTACCACGCGCTTTGTGAGAGAGTTCCAATGGAGCGCAACTCTGTTTGTGAAATAGTAAGTTCTTTCCTCATATCCTCTTATGAATTGATAGTCAAGCTATTTGTCATAGTCCAGCAAATTGCACACCTCACACCCAATCAGTTGGTGCTGTCATACAAAAAAATAAACTTCATCATTGTTGTTTAGTATCATGAATTGATGGGTTTTAATCCTCCATGTTAACGTAGAGTTTAAAGCCGTGCTTAGAACATATCACTTGCTGGCTGACAGTTTTAGCAAGTGGTTAAAAGCTGAGCAACTTGCCCAACTAGCTGATACTGGCTGACCAACAAAGTTGCTGGCTTCTGGCTGTGCAAATTGCTCTGAATTATAATTAGTATCGTTTTCCACAAAAAGAAAACTTTAAGTTTAAATTATTTTCTTTCAATTAAAGTTGAAAATCAAATAAGACTGATATTGTCATGAATAAAGATAGTCATGTTCATATTGGAAGAACTTAAATTGCTTCTTCTTGAGTTCAAAATCAATCCAGTTAATAAAAACATGGATTCCACTGATACACTCGAGGTTGGTATGCTAAAATACTCTTTTGCAAGCACTGCTAAGTGTGGATACTTTGCATGATGATTTCGCCAAAACAATAAACAAGCCAGTTCTTCATCTGTCGTAGGTATATGAGATATAAATTGCTCTACTTCCGAATCAATTTGATAATTTTTTTCTGCAGAAGTAACACTTTTCTTCATCTCTTGAAGTAGTTGTCGCTTAGCACTAGGACCTGATTTTGAATCTTTATCATTTTCTGGCTCTGATATAACTAAAACCAGATAAATCAATTTAATAAAAACCGATATCAATAATAAACAAATGATACTTGAAGAACTCAATATATTAATAAAATAATAACTACTGATACTGATTTAATAACTATTCTGTTTTCCATAATTAATATAAAAAAATTAATTTTTAATAAAGTTTATTTGTGTTTCAGTAACTTTTTCCAAAACATATACTTATTTTTCAAAACATATACTTATAAAACAAAAACTTATTTTATTGATGTTATTATTTGTATAGACATATAATACCTTGAATTAAATCTAATTGGGTCACTTTTATGTTTAATGCATTCTCCAACAAACTTTCCTTTATTTCATCTCTTGTATATAAAATTTTTGTGGCTGGATCTAAAAAACAGCATAGTTTTGCAGAAGTTAATAACTTAAGTCTTTGGTCAATTTTTTTAGAGCAACATTTCTTTAGCTTTTTTATTTTATTCAAATCACAAGAATTAATTGAAAGTAGTTTTAGTATTTTGTGTTTAACTAATGGCAAAATAGAAAGCGAATTTCCAGCACTGATCACATGGTTTAATGATTCAA